GGCTTCCAGTGCAAACATACACGCACCATGAGAACACAGGCAGTGGTGACTGCCTTAACCACAGGACAGACACATGCGCACGTCTGCTGATTCCAACATAGTATAAATAGACCTCGGGTTCACAGCACCGGGAACACACAGAGTGTGGAGGCCACTAACGATTTCAGACCGAAAGGGCAATGCCTGGTTGCACAGGCCGACCTCCGATAGGAGTATCACACCACACAGAGAGAATGAAACACAGCAGAAGCCTTGTCCATGCGATATGACAAAAGGACGCACAGTGCTCAGCTCTAGTTTCAAAATGCAGTACCAGACAGTTTTCAAGCTGAGAGGAGCGAACGGCACCGTAGTTGGCTGGGCTAATGTAGGCAGGGTTGAGAGGTGGTACATCCTTTCCAAGGGAAAGGAATCAATGCCGTCTAGTCGGACCTCCCGACCATTACGGGGAGGGGCGTGGGTGAGTTCCACTATGTAAAATTTGACTTGCAGGTGGAATAGGAACCGGACTGATGCTAAAAAATAACCTAAAAATAATAATAAAAAAAAATGAACCGGACTGATGCTCCCCAGAATGGAAAGCAGCCAGAGCGGAAAAAAAAAAGGTTATAGCCTTAGAGGCTTATAGCTTCCATTATAAAGAGGGAAAAGGCGAGGGGGGGGGGCAACTAGAGGGTCACCTTGTCTGACGGAGTGCGATTTTTTGTAAGATTGAGACAATAAGCCATTGACTTGCACTTGAAGTTGCAACCCAGGGCAACCAATGCTGGCAGTTACTTTCACACTCTTTCATTGTCGGTCTGTTCTTTCTGTATCGTTAAGGGACACTGGACCCGATTTCCAGCAGGTGATGCTCCCCACCAATAGACTGGAGCCAGCCACAGGTGTTGCTAGAGCTGTCTGCTCATACCAGCACCCCTAGCAAAACTGGGGTCTGTTTGTCTGGGAAAAAAACAAAAAAAAAGACTTGCACTTGAAGTTGACTTGTCTAAGGAAGAAGTTATGGCTTGCATTATAAAAAAAAGGAAGATTGGGGCAACTGGAGGGTCACCTTGTCTGATCTCTTCTTTCTTTTCTTTTCTTTTTTAAAGTTTTTTTCCTTCTTCTTTTTTGTGAGAATCCTGGATGCTCCAGTCTATTGGTGGGGAGCGGCACCTGCTGGAAAATGGGTCCAGCGTCCCTTCACAGCAAGAGCCTGCCAGCATTGATTGCCCTGTTATCGGGGATTGACTGCGCAGGTATTCAAATCGTTAGAACCAAGGAATGACACAATCTTGGGCATGGATCCGCCTCTTCGGCCTAAACCTGGCCATCAGATTGATCTCATTACCCTAGCGACTCCTCCCTTTAGTCTTCCTTTCCAAAGGTAACCTGCTCAGTAACACTGGCCCCCGATCCGAAGCTCGGTCGCACCCTAATGTATCAGCTTGTCTACCGGCTTGTTTGCAATCCACCAGCTGCAGTTCTACTTACTCAGCTCTATACCATTGCGTATCCACCATAGCCAGTTGATGGGGCGGAAAGGGATCGGGAAAATCTGAAGGTGGCCGCAGCGGGATCCCCTGGCCCACTGTTGTCCAATCTCTGAAGCAGATACAATAGTCTCGCTTGAGCGTCCCCTGGTTGCCCTCATGGGTGCCGTGGTTGCCTTCCTGGGAGTGCCTGCCATCCCATCTGATGAAGGCGATCCGGTGCCCGTTCACACTGCCCAACCAGTCCCCGGAGAATTGTTGGATTGTTTGTAGTATATCTTTCTGTGAATGAAATAGATCCAATTTGTTTTTAACTTTCGGCCATTATACCATAAGTTCTTGACGTATATATTATTTTATCATGTCCGTCGTCTCCTCCCCAGCTATGCGGAACCCCTCAATAGCATGTATACAGCGTCTCTTCCAAAGGGCCCACATAACCGCTCCTATCTTAAACATTATTATTTTCAAAGGTACTACCCGAAAGGGAGGCCCCTGCCTCGCATAGTATCGCCCTCCAATCCCATGGCCAGGCAGATCCAGTGTCCAAAAGCCTCGAGATCCTGTCCCACCATCGCCATGTAAGGACAGCCCCAGGGCATTGCAAGAATGCGTTCTATTGTTTCCAGGATCTTACGGGAGGGGAACGCCGTGTGGCAGGACTTGCACCAGAGGAAGCGCCAGTCCTTTCTGCTCCAGGTATGTGTGGTGCTCTATCTACCAGCCAGTCACTTGTTGGAGGCAGCGGTGCTCTATCTGCCACTGCAACGAGGCCAAATGTGTAGGCCTAGACCTCGTGAGAGTGAACCATCGGATGGGGTGAATGGCCTCGACCCCACATTCAAATGAGACCTCTAACGGGCCTTCACAAGGTCCTTTAGGTTTAACCTGGGGCGTAGTAGACGGTACGTAGCTTTCACACTCAGACTAAACAACTTTATGTTCGCATCAGCCAGGGTCCTTCATGCAGGGGACCACTGTCACTCCGCGGGGTCAAAGTTGAGATCTGCGAAAGGGATCTCTGGCCGGTATGCGATCCATTCGTCTTGTCCCGAAACGCCCAGATCCTATATTGGTCAGCATTCCTCCACCATCTCACCAGCTCCGGGATGTACCTGGTTAGCACATTGTCCTTGCCTTTGTGAAAAAGCTTGACCAACGTTTCGTCCGTGCGTGCCTCCATGACACTACCTACACTCTCTGTGTCGCCCAAAGCGGCTACCCAATCCCCTTCTACCAGTCGCGGCCCCTTGCGCAAAATGCGCACCCAATCCAGGGGGATAGCAAAGGTCGGTTGTTCCAAGTTATCTTCTATGTTAACACTGTGTTTCACTAAGGTCCTCAATTGTGGCGCTGTTTTTCAGTCCCTGTTCTCTGGATCCCAAATGTCCTTAACTCTAATTACGCCCTTTTTGAGCCAGCTATTCCATGGGGAGTCCGAGCTCCGGTATAACCTTTCGTTCCGATCCGTGATACTTCTATTCCCGAACGGGGTATGTCGCGCCACCTCCTCTCATCTAGTCGGTGCGGGTTCTGTCCGGCAGCGAGAGTTGGCCCCAGACTCTCAAAACACGGGTTCAAAAATCGTCCTTGGCTAGGTCGCCACGGACTATACCCCGGCTCGAGGCCTGACCAGTTCGGGAGCGCCGTGGTATGGGCCTGAAGCGGCATTCCAACCAGGTCAGGGGGTTAACAACTTGCGGTGTTTGTGGGGCCAGTCAAGCAATCTGTTTCAGCACAAGGGTGTACCAAGGGAGATCCTGTGTGAACACCAGCCTCCTAGCCTACTGCACCATTAGTGTTGTGGTCTGGGTACCCGGGTCTAAGATCCCTAGACCCCCTTTGTCCTTGGGTTTTAATTATCGATAGCCAAGCCACTCTGTTGATAACATTCGGAAGCTCGCTGTTAACTCTCCACAGCATTGCAGTTATTTGCTGCTTGAGCAACCGGACCGCCTCCTTGCTAAGGGCCCAAATTGTAGATTTGTACCAAAGGGCGGCCAATACTGCGTTGTTGATCACCAGCGCTCTGCCAATTAGGGAAGTGTGTTTATCGTTCCAGCAGGCCAGCTTCTCTAGAGCGGGTTTGAGGATCCAATCGTCATTCGACGTAGGCATTCCCAATGTCGTCAGCTTGACTCCCAACACTCTCGCCGGGGCCGCTTCCGAGATCCATTTAGCCCGTGGTAGCTCCGGGGGGCACACCCCTTGGTGGTGGATCCACCACCCCAGGGTTTTGTTTCCCCAATTAATGGTCATGTTTGAGACCGATGTGAATCTGTCAAATAGCCTTCTGATCTCTTCCATATTCTCAATGGTAACAACCACCATGACTGCTAGGTCATCCGCAAACATTGAACAGACGGGGATCGCTTCTTCGGGGATGGCCGAGATCTGCAGCTTCCTCAGGTCCTTATCGGCGTGAAGGTTTGTTGCCAGCGCCTCCATCACAATTATAAACAGAAAGGGTGCCAAAGGGTCTCCTTGACCACAGCCCCTTCCCCGATCAGATCACCCAAATCCTTCTCCGGACCAACATTCCCGACCAGCTCAAGAAGACGGAGAGACTATGGTTCGGCCTGATAAGGAAGGTCACATTATGGGTCATCTGGAAAGAGAGATGCTGCATAACCATCGAAAGGCTATCTAACTCAAAAGAGAAGGTATGGGGGGAGATGAGAACGTTGCTGCAGGCAGAAATTCTGTGCAGATGGCGGAAACTAAAACAGTCGATGCCGGAGGATGCAGAACTGCAGGAAAAGGCCAAGAAGAAGTTCATAACAGAATAGTGGATGGTAAGGTGGCGGAGTTAAGAAACGATCGATAACACTGGAAAGATTGGCACAACTCAGAGACAGGGAGGAGAGTACAGGCTGTTCATGTAACAGACGAGCACCTGAGCTGAAGGGAGAAAGGGACATCAAGGCCAGAAAGGAAGCCAAGGGGAGAGGCAAGAAGGACGAGGACTGGTGAAGGGAGGAGGGTTTCAGGTCTCCTCCAGAC